GTTCGGCCCGAAAATGACGCCGGCGCCTCAGCGAGAGTCGTTTCCCGGGATTTCCCGGGAATCCTGTGTGTAAAAAAACAATGCGCGGAGGGTGCGCGGCCATCACCCGGACGCCATCAGGGGAAGAGGGAGATTATTTCCATATTGAATAATTGTAAAAGGAGGGGGGAAAGGCCCCAAAGAAGCCCCCAAGAGGCCAAAAGAAACTCCCAGGAGGCCTCCAGGAGGCCCCCAAGAGGCTCCCAAGAGGCCCCGCGACGTTGTGACTGTACGTGCTCCGGACGTGCACCCCGCGACGCGAGAGGAATCCGCCCACCTACCAGACTGAGGGTCGTGTGGGATTTGACTGCTAGATAGAGCTCCTTACAGGTTTTGCCCTCCCCCCCCTCTCCCCGTTCCCCCCTCAGAGGCTTCCGTCATTCCGCCACCCGGCTGCGCCATCTATCTTGTTCATGCCTCAAGACGGCGTCAAGACGGCTTCCAAAACGAGCTCGGTTTTCAGATCCTTCTGGCGACGCTTTCGGAGTGAATTCGGCTCCGTTTCGGCCCCTGCGGGGCCCCTTCTGGGCATCCACCGCCAGCTCCTGGGGCTCCAGGGCGCCTCTGGGGCCCAGCTGCGCGTACAGCCTGGGAACTTCACAAACATAGCGAAACCCATCGGTGTTTGATGGTGTCGCCCCGACGCCTCTCTGGGCCATTTTGCAACAACGTGTAAATTTCGTCAACGACTTTGAGCGCTTTCGGTATACATTTTGACCGATCTGGGCCCAACTGGGCCCCCCAAAATGGAGGACAAACGGGTCCAGATCAGTGCCAAGTTTCGATGGAAATGCGAACGCAGCTCAGGCCCACCATGGGGATGCTCGCGCTTGAACCGTCCAGAGGCCCGCCTGAGCAGCCTCGGGCTCGTCTTGGGCCCATGTCGGACTCGTTTCAAAGCCATGCCTCTTCAGGGCGCCTCTTGGACCTGCAAGGGGTCTTTCACCATTTTCGGAATAATGCCATCCCGTCTTGGCGCCGTCTTTGCCTCTTGCGGCGAGAACTGCAAAGGGCGGGCAGTGAACGCGAAGCGTCTTGAATCCGCCCGCCCACCTGGTCGCGGGGCGTGTAGGACATAGTTACTTAACTGCAAGGAGCTGTAGCCCCCCTCCCAGAGCCCTCCGTCATTTCGCCGCCCGGCTGTGCCATCGACCCTTTTGAGGCTCAAGACGGTTTCCAGACGGCGTTCCAAGACGAGCTCGATTTTCAGACCGTTCCGAATACGGTAGAGGTTTTCTATAAGGATACTTTCGAGAAGGAACCCAGGGTCTCGCGACCGATGGGGTGCAAACGTGGACCACCCACCTCTCCTTGAAACAAGAAGGAATGCGCCAGGGTCTGGGCCCAAGGAAGACGTTCCTTACCCAATGCCGCCGCGGTACCCTCTCGGAGTACAATTTGGCTCAATTTCCGCCCCCCTTCCAAACTCGCTCCTGGGGCCCTCAAGAGCGCCTCTTGGGCCCAGCTTCGCCTACAAAAGCTCGAAACATCAAACATATAACAACAACGACACGTTTCTTATTTTCCCCTCGCCGGGGGTCGCCTGGACGCTTCCGACAGCTACCTTCCGGACTTGTCCGGGATATTGTGCGCAGTGCAGATTTCGCCTATGCTTTTCGGCACGCGCTAGGGCTCACTGTGGACGATGACGGGCCCGACGTGGACCCCAAAGCGCAGCCCGAGCCGGGCCCCGAACCAGCCCGCTCTTGATGGCACTCGGACGGGGCTGCGGCCCAGCGCGGAGGCGCTCTCGCGCAAGAAGGGCACGAGGCTCCCCTGTCTCGGGGTCCCCTTTGGCTGTCGCGGGCGCCTGCTGGGCCGTCTCTGGCTGGCCTCGGGCAGCGTACCTGCTGCCTCTGGCCTCCTGCTGCGGGTGGTGCTGATGACCAGACGACGACAACTCGACGAATCCAACATCGATCAGCCGCAAGGCACACCTGAGCCCAATCGGCGGTGGGACGAAGGAGAACTGGGGAGCGCAGGAAAAAATACAAAAACACACACACGCGAGGGAACCTTGTACCCATTTCGGGATGTTGTCCCCCCGTCTTGGCGCGCCCCTTCCAGCGAGAACTGCCCTGGGCGGGCGGTGAGCCCGAAGCGTCCCGAACAAAGGCGGGTGCCCGCGCAAGCGGGGGCTTTCTGCGGGCCGGGCGGCCCAGACAGAACACGTCGGCCCCGTACTTCTCCTGCGCCTCGGGACACGCCACGAAGCCGAACCTGTGCGAGGAGGACTTCACGGTGCCCGTCCAGACCTCTCCTGTGGGGGGGGGGGGGGGGCGCCGGCCCGGAGGCGCCCCTGGGCAGCTCGGGCTGGCCCGAGCGCGCAGGAGCGAAGAAGAGAGGCGACAGTAATTAAGGTACATAGTGCCTGACTGCGTCGCTCCGCTTCTGATCTTGAACGGCCCCCAGCCTCGGCGAGCCCGACCCGCACATCGGAGGAGGAGGAGGAGGAGGAGGA